TAGTCCTAGATCGGTGGTGTTTCGTGTGGGTTTCGGTTCGGTTTACCGACATAGTAGGCGTCTAATCTATTTCGTCGTCGTTCTATCTAGGCGAACGCGGCCGACGCGGCCGTTCTGCCTTAGTGATATTAAGGGCATCTATATCGGAGCTTATCTCGTGTAGCCGAGAGATCAGGTCCGAAAAGGTGGCGGGAATGCCCCGATTCATCAACGAATTCGTCATTATCTTATTAAGTACTCCGAGGAGAATCTGTCGCTTAGCCTCGTTATGCTATTCGAGAGCGTCGGCATCAGCGAATTCCTTTTCTAGCCGTGGTAGGAACCTAGAAAAGCTCATATCTTCCGGTTACCGAATCTGGTGGAGTCGCCTAGCTACGCGTGCTTTAACATTCGGGTCTCCATAGATATTCTCGAGGTAGTCGAGTAAGGCCTGTGGTTCGCCGGTGTCTCGGCGGAGTTTCACAAAGGTTCCGGTGTTCTTCTATATAAGCTTCTCTAGTCTAGAGAAGATATATATGAATTAGTCCTAAGGAGAACTAATAGCTTCGCCGTCTACACTAAGCTTATTCTTAATCGAAATTCGCTAGGTTAGCTAGTCGCTCGTGCTTCCACCGAATAGCTTTGGGTCCGGGAGACGGGGCTTCGGTCGGTGAATAATCTCTGTTCGTGGAGGAATCGGCACCGGTTCGGTAGCCGATCGGGCTAGTGTCGCCTGTCCTTCGTTTATCGTGGTTATCGTCGTGGCTAGTGAGGCTTGGCGCTCTAACATTGCTTCGAGACGACGCATCCGTTCTTCTTATATAGCTTCCTATTGGTAGTGCCGCTCTCGTTCTTCGTTCTGCATAGCCTAGGTCTGTGCTAACTGCTGCAATAGCGTCTGCGCCCACCTAGGAGGGCTCGTCGATTCCTGGTGCTGTATAGCTGCTAGGGGTTATGTAGCGTGCCGGTAATGTGTCGGTCGCTTTTCGTCTAATGTTCTAATATGCCTAGGAATTGCGATCTCCTAAGGCTTTCTAATACGTCTCGAGCGCTAAGAGTTTTATGCGCGAGGATTCCGTTCTAATCGCTGTTCGTCACTGAATCACTAGAGATTTAGGGGGCTTTCTAATGAGTGCCTAGGTCGCTTTCCTAGGGCTTTTCTAATAACCAATGATACTTCTAAGTGTAGAAGGAAGCTTTTTGTATGTGAAGGGCTGAAGCAAGACTTGATTCAATCTAACTAGGCCAACATGCTATTTACAAAAAGCTTAAGGAGGGGAAGTTTATCCTGCGCGTTCTCCACGTCAACATGCCAAGGTCTCGTGATACACGTGACCTATATCGGGCACTGGCCCGTGACATTTATCCTATTACACCATTAGTATTAGCTCATATTAAAAGGGAGAAGCTTTAGCCTTTAAATAATTCAGTGGACTTCTTAGCTGCGGAATATATAAATGTTGTTCAATACACAAGGTAATATAGGTATTTAATAGCATTCTTGGTGGTAGAAATACTCGCAAAAGCCCTTTCGAATTGATCTGCCTACTAGCACTCACGCCACTTCCATGGTTTCTAAGATTAGAAGTTCTCTTTGTGTTCGATGAACTATAATCAAAAGGACCGAATAATATGTAGAAGGTGGCTAAAGCAGAGGACCGCAATCTCTAATAATAGTATGTAATTCTACTCCGACCGGAGATAATCTTAGACCTAGTTACGGTCTTATAGTAGCCTATTATATAAATAATGTCTTTAGGATGCGTAACTTATCACCTAATTCGCGATAGGTTAGTTTATTAGTGACTCGCACTGTAATACCGTGGTATCGGAACGATGGAAAAAGAGGTAAGGACATAATTAGTAGTATCCTATTATAGTTTTTGTTAGTTAAAATGATGACCATAAATAGCCGCTAATCGGCGTACCTTTAAAGATTCCACTAGTGGCTAGATGTGAATCTAGCACAGTCAGCGGTGAGTAGGTTACCTTGTTTACCCGAATATGTTCATCTTAGTTAAGAGAATGACCTATGCTAAAGCTAAACATTGAGAATACTACGTAGACTTTATAACCTAATAGCTAAAGATTCACTTAAAGATTATCCCTAGTGGACTATATCTTGAATAAAGACTATCTTAAATACCTTAAACGTAGATTATCGTAAATGAAACCCTATTTAAAGCGTAACTATATTAATAAAATATAGTATAATCCTTTTTCTATAATAAATGAATATTATATACTTCATACTACGTACGGTAAGCGATAGTTACAAAATAGATTAAATAAATATTTTTTTGATTAATAATTTAGGGGTATAAATAATAACTATTATTAATTAGAAGATAAGGGTGGTTTACTTACGTAAAATGGCTAGATTTAAATAGGTCCGGGATGAATAGGCTTGAAATATTACGAGTAATAGGCTTAAGATAAATAGGCTTAAGAGTAATAGGCTTAAATAAATAGAAGATATTAACCTAATATTATACGGTCTTATATTTGCCCTATTCTAGTTTAATATTAAATACCTCTATCCTTCCACGATCATTACTATCCTCCGTGTACTCTATAGTACGCTATCGCAGAAAGAGCGTATAACTAAAGGCTGTGATAAACTATATATATATAGGATTCTTTAAATAACGTTAATATTTTAGATTTTAGATTCTGAAATAGGTATTACTAGTTCTACGAGGGGGATAAAATTTCGTATAAAAGTTAGAGATAGAGCTTAGCTTCCTTAGCTTAAACTAAGTAATAGTCTCTAGCACCGCGAAGAGGTGTCTGTTATTTATTAGAGGGTGGGTGTGAAATATCCTATTATAGGCCGACCTAGCACTTGATCTAGGATTTATACATAACCGGTATAGTCTATATATAGAACTAAATCCGACCTAGAGCCTCCACTAGGATTTATATATAGACTATAGCCTCGACCTTAGTAGGCTTATAGTATGAATACTACAGCCTCGACCATCGTAATCTCTAGTTAAGATAAGTTATCTTTATATTTTTTATACGCGTTTAACTCAGTTTAATACCGCGAATTTCGAATAAATTTTCCTTTCTAATAATTTAATATCTAACTAGTTATAACACTAGCTGACCTACCGTACTTATATATCCGATTGTCGTACTACCTATCATCCGATCTAAACAAGAACCTCCCTCATTAGTATCTATCCACTCCGTATATTTACTACCGTATTCCCCTTAATTATTTATATATGTAAATTACAGAGATTAAGGGAGTTAATTCAACTAATATTCTAGAACCGCTATATATATAGTGATTTTTGTTTTTGGCTGGGGCATCTTACAGTTTTTACACCTAAGAATACGCGTTTTAGGGGTACTTAAGTCCTTCCGGCTAGTTTCTCCTCTTTTATCTCCTAGGAGCACCCTTACACAAAGACAGACATTCAAAGAGATCCTGATTCTCTTTAGAAAAGCATTGCGTAGTGGAAATATTCTGCGAATAGTGACCTTTTAGTTCTTCACGCGTACTTACTGTATTTACTTAAAGTGAGATTCTAATATAGAGGACTTAAGCATTGATATTACTATACACAGTAATCCAACGATTGAAGATTGCTTAAGACGAAAAAGCTAGAGTAAACCAAAAATCAAATATTTTATCCTTGCTCTTGATGTTACAGACCCCAATCTGCCAATAACTAAGAAGATAAGGGTAGAGTAATGAACACAATGGGAGCTACTGTAAAGACCACTGGGTAAGGAAAGTGTGGTGACATAAGCGAAAGTAATGAACATATCAGATATTTAGCTCAGCACATACTAAGCGATACCACCGGGCTGGTTTTGCTTATAGTTATCATATTATTCTGTTTGACCGAATAGCTAGGATATGGAAGATATTCAATAGAATGAGTTGAGCATCGTGGGACTTAATTAATCATTGAACCTTGGATACTGAGCTTGTTGGATAGCTGAAATAGAGCAAAGGCAATCCTAGTTCTATGGAAAATAAACACCAAATACCTACTAAGGATGTTCGTCGTTTTTGCTGACGCAGACCATGGCAATCTGCGGGGAGCAATGATAACTAACTAAGCCATTAGAAACAGGAACATTACGCGGCTGCTTCCCCGGAGCAAAGTGGGGCAGTGTCAAAAGGAACTTTTATGATCATTCTTAGTGGTCATCGAGGAAGCTGTGTCCCTAGGCGGGATAATATCCTCCCTATATTTCCTCTGTATATCTGGGATAGATTGTGACACAATAGTTACCTAAATAAGTAGGCACGTGACTAGATCCTACTACTGATAGGATTACAAAGGCAGAATTCATCACTCGATAGGAAGGACGGTGTTGTAAATACAAAAGGAAGCTTGACTTTCTTCTTGAGGAAATACATGAGGCTATATATACAGCATGAAGTCCAAGTTGATTTCCAATCAACTTGGTTCTTCCTATACATAGAGCAGGAATTATTTCCGATGTTGCGGCTTCATTCCTGAGCAGCAAGTGCCAGGTATCACAACATTCCCCCTCAGGATCGCCTTGCTAGCGAGGCGATACTGAATATATGCACATCGGTCAGGCCTCGGTAAAACCACTCAAAACCTCGAAGAGGAGAAATAGTGGAAAGAGCGCCATCCCTGTTACACATCTTCCTTCATGTGTTCTTCAGTGCAGATTCCCAAAAGCTTGCAGAACTTGATAAATGGAGAAGGCCCCAAAGGCTTGGTGAGTCCATCAGCTGCTTGTTCCTCGGTTGGAATATATTCGAGACTAATCTCTCCTGAATTCAGAACAGCTCGCTGGTAATGGAACTTCACGTTGAAATGCTTCGTCCGTTTGTGAAACTTAGGATTACGGGAGAGAGCAATGGCGGATTGGTTGTCAGCCATGATGTTGGTCACCGGCGATCGAAACAGGTCGGTCTCTGCCAGGAACGTGCGGAGCCATTGTAGGTGAAGGATGGTATTGTATTGGCCAATATACTCGGCGTGAGTCGTGGACGTCGCTACTTCCCCCTGTCTTTTGGACGACTAGGAAACTGGTGCTCCCGTAAGTTTGAACACATAGCCGGACGTGGAGTATGCACCATTAGTGACGACCGAGCCACCAAAGTCGGCATCGGTGTATCCGATCAACTGCCCGCTGCGGTATGTGATGCGATAGAATTGTGTGGCCTTGATATAGCGTAGTAGTCTCTGCAGTGCGGCTTGATGATGCGACTGCGGTCGGGATGTGAAACGACTCAACGTCCTAAGCGCAAACGCGATGTTAGGGCGCGTACCGACCATAAGATACATTAGTGATCCGATTGCGGTCCCGAACCGAGCCTTCGTATCTTCATCTAGGTCGCTCCCGTCGGGAACGTTATTCAGGAGAACTTTCGGAGCCATCGGTGTAGACTTCGGTTGATAGGTCTCTATGCAAAAGTCGGAGAGGACCTTTTGGATGTATTGATGTTGGTGAATCGAAATCGATCCGTCCGCGTGGAAGTTAAACTGAATTCCTAGGAATGAACGCGGCTTTCCTAGATCGTTCAGTTTGAACTCCGATTCTAAGGCCCTTTGAAGCTGCTGGATCTCGGTGTCGTCCGCGGCTGCGACCAGAAAGTCGTTAACGTACACGCAGACGACATAGTTAGGCTTATAGAAAACATAGTTGTCGGACTGGGCTATGGTAAAGCCGTGAGCTACTAGGACACGGTGGACGTATTGGTACTAAATCCGTGGTGCCTGCTTTAGTCCGTACAAGGAGCGTCGAAGGCGGTAAACGTATCTATCTTCCTTAAAGCCCTCTGGTAGCTCTATGTAGATTGGCGAGTCGACATCACCGTGGAGGAACGCAGTGACGGCATCGAATTGGTGGAGTTTCCACCCACGCAGCACGGCACTCGTAACGATGCTGCGGACCGAATCCATTCGGGATACAGCCGCGAAGGTTTCGTGATAGTCGATGCCGTGTTTCTGTCGGTAGCCTTTGATCACCAATCGCGCTTTCCGGATTCTATTAGTCTTCGTCTTGAATACCTACTTACAGCCAATAATCCGATCCCCGGGGGGAACTTTATTTCGTGGAACTTTCTCCTATGTGCTATGCTCGAGAAGAGAAGCGTATTCTTTCTGGATCGTAGCCCACTATTCTAGCTGATTGGGTCCTGATATAGCTTCGTGGAAGGTCAGAGGATCCACGTCTTTTGCGACAGTTACATTCAATGTCCCTGTCGCATACACCTTGCCTAGAGACTCTAAGAGACGCCTGGAAGGTCTTCGTCTTCGGCTATATAAAGAATAACCAAGGTCCTGTGTGGCCTCTGTTTCGTGCTGGATTGGATTGACTGGTGAGGGAACATTAACCGGTTCAGAATCAGACGGCACGTTATCAACTGGCTTATAAGGAGCAGCGTTCTCTAGTTTTTTAGGAGATAGCGGCGGCGTAGGTGGCCCACTAGATGGAGGTAGCATTGGTTTAGGAAAGATAGGTGATGGAGGAGCGTTGTCCGGGAGGTCGTTGCCTGTTTCCCCCTCGATGAGTGGCGCTATAGGGGTCCTTTTATCGAACTCGATATCACGGGAAAAGATGGTCCTTCTAGAGTGTACTTCATAAAGCTTGTACTGATTGGGTTCGCAGTACCCGAGCAGTCGGTACTTAGACGATCGTGGTCCGATCTTCGCCCGATGCTCTTTAGGGATCAATACCCATACGCGGGAGCCGATCCGTCGTAGATGTAATAGCTTGGGTGGCTTCCCGTAGATGACTTCATACGGTGTCTTCTTCTGTAGGATTGATGCTGGCGCGCGTAGCTTAAGATAGACTACCGTGTCTAAGAGCTCGGTCCACCAGGAAGGAGGGAGTTTCGCATCGGACAGGAGCGTGTTGATCCGCTCCCGGATAGTGCGATTCGTGCGTTCCGCTAGCCCGTTCTGCCCTTTGTAGTATGGCGGCGACGTGTTAAACTTAACTCCCTAGGACACGAGGTGTGTTCCGATCGGTAAGTATTCTCTCCTATTATCGGTGAGGAACCTTTTGATCTGGGCGCCGAACTGTCGGTGCACCCAGGCCTCGAATTGTCGAAACTTCTGCAGCGCTTCATATTTCTATCTTATGGTATAGGCCTAGGAGCCGCGCGAATAATCGTTAGTAAAGGTGATCACGTACCTAGAGCCATCTTTAGCAACTGGCATTTCCATAATGTCCGAATGGATTATTTTAAAGATTCTTGACGAGTGTAGACGTGGCCGTCTTACACGGGAGCTCCTCTTCTGATGCTGCTTGCCCGATATGTACGCTGGACACTGCGGCGTTGCTAGCAGTTCGCTGTGCGTCAGCGGTCGGTACGGAGTGCCGGTCTGCCGGAGGACTACCCTTAAGTCACCCCGGTTCAGATGTCCCATCCGAGCGTGCTACAATGCTTCGGAGGCCTGGTTTACTCCTGTGTACGTATCTTCTTCGAGTATCCGAGCTTCACCACCGAGTTCAGAGGTTGGCGATGCGTATCCTACGCCACTTGACTCCCGAGGGTCGTCGACATCTATGGCCACCGCCTACGGTTCCAGGGAATCTGCATGCCCACGGTTTGTCGGCGCCCTCGCTAGTTGGACTCGCTCTCGGGATCTTGGGCTTATATGGCACCGTAGGATTAACAGATCCTCCTTAGCGTGGTAGGCAGTCCCTACCGTTCGTCCTCGGCGTTGCATAAAGACGTTTTGTGGATGTGCCACCACCGAGTAGCGGTCGCGTAATAGCTTCGGTACGCTGATTAGGTTCATCCCGATGCGTGGCGCGAAATATACGTTCTTTAACACTAGGGGGTGGCTGGACTTCCCCCGGAGTATGAGCTTCACCGTACCAATCCCTTCGGCTTCTACTGGATCGCCCGCCGTGTCTAATATCTCACGGTACGGCCGTAAGCTAATAAAGCAGCTCCGATCCTAACAGATGTGGCTGGTGGCGGCCGAATCTAGGATCCACCGAGAGGAGGAAGCCGGCGCGTGGGTATAAAGGGTCGTCACCCTCGCCCTCACGATATTGATCCGCGGTCTCTTGGAAGTCGGCGGGCCCTGCCGTTCTTCCCTCTGGCTTACTGGTATGGTTTGTAAATTGTGTCTTGGTGAGCCAGAAACACTCCTTTCCGTCTTTAGGGCATGGTCCCTTGGTGGTTGCTGTTCGCGCTGTTTCTTCCAGCAGTCCACGGCCACATAGCCGCGCTTCTTATAGTAGGTGCATTTCTTTGCGGTCTTCTGCACCGTATTGATAGAGGCGTTGTTTGAGGGGCCTGACACTCCGTGCGGGACCGTAGTAGCGTCCTTTCGCTGCACCGTCTGCTCGGCGTTGGCGAGACGGTTTCTAATCGTCGTTGGATTGACCGGGTCCTTGTTATTCTGGATGGCATCCACGACGAGGACGTATTCCGGTCCGATTTGGGTCAACAGAATCGCGATGTGTGTTCGGTCACCGATGGATCCCGGAGCAATGGCATTCAGCCGGTGTACCAGCAACCGCACACGATCGATAAATTCCCGTGTGCTGGCGTATCGGGCGGCCGTGGTTTCGCGAAGCTGGGCGAACAGCTCGCAAAACGTGGCCAGCTCCATACGCCGATATCGTTCTTCCAGCTCATTCCAGAGCTCCCGGGATGTCTCTAGTCCCGCGACGTGCACACTGATATTGGGCGATAGATACCGGAAGATGATATGGTAGGCCTCGGCTTCGCGCCGCGACCATTCCTTATGACGCTCGAAAGCTTGGACCTCCACTTCGAGGCGTGCTTCGATGGCCCTCTGCCGCACCGCCCTATTAAGGTGGGGCTCCACAAGCGGAGTGATATCCGCCGTGATTGGCTTAGCATATTTGAACTGGCAATCTGGACGCTGGAGGTCGCCCGACACCACATCCTAGACCTGCCTGGCTTTCAAGTAGGAAGTCATGAGGCGCTTCCAGGTAGCGTAGTTATCGCTTCCTGTCAGAGGCTCAATGGCTATGACGGCCCGGTCGGGGGAGTCCTGGACGAGAGCCGACATGATGTTGAGGAGGCGGGGTAATATATAATCACAAGTCAAAGAATTGAATGTGTCCCGGTGTGAGTAGAGACGGCACCCGAGTGGTTGCACTCGGGCTCATAACCTGTTGTAAATACAAAAGGAAGCTTGACTTTCTTCTTGAGGAAATACATGAGGCTATATATACAGCATGAAGTCCAAGTTGATTTCCAATCAACTTGGTTCTTCCTATACATAGAGCAGGAATTATTTCCGATGTTGCGGCTTCATTCCTGAGCAGCAAGTGCCAGGTATCACAACAGACGGTAGTGTTTAGTTCTGAGTGATCAATTTCGCATTGTTATAGTACTGCCGTATTCGAAATCAGATTCCCCCGCCTCCACTCAGAGAGTAATTCTCTAACCCTATCCAAAACCGCGCTAGTCTAAACTTAGATTAGCTGTAGATCGTGGCCTATATTTAATACAGTCATCGTTCGTGATTGTTTAGAATATAGAGCCTACTCCTTTCTTTATGCCTATGAACTAAAGTACCATGTTACACACTAACGTATTGGATAAGCGAGCCGGCCACCCGACCGAGCCGGCCACCCACCCTATTAAAAAATTTCAAAATCGAATATCTCTACCAAAACGCATTCAATTTTCTAATACTAAAGATTAATACATCGATTGATTTTGTGGCCAATCTGCCCACACCCACTACATCTAGGCGGCGCCCTAGGGCGTGGTTGAATTGCCTGATTAGGCAATTCGCCCTGCTCATGCGATCCTACCCTATCACCTTCCACTGGCTGGTTTAGCTGCCCAACTAGCTGTATAGCTTCTTCAACAGATAGGCCCTCTTCGCAGGGTATCTGCCTAGTTGACCGCTGGCGTTTCTGGCGCTTCTTCTCATTGGCTATGCGTAGATTGGCGTTCTCCTGGCTAAGTAGGGCAGCGGTATGCAAAGCTAGATAGCCACCCTTAATCATCTGATCCACCACGGTTTTGATCGGGCTTGGAGGGCTTTGCGACCGCTGATCTAATAGATCTTTTAACAAAGAAGCTTGCTTGAATAGCTGGGGGACGGTCCTAGGCGTTTTTGGTGTGAATTGGCTAGATCTGCTGCTTGGCCGGCTGTTTGGTGGCGTAGGCGTTCGTAGAGAGATATTCAGCTTTGAAAGGACCCTTTCTGCATCGATTGGTACTAGACCAGTGGCTGCGAAGCTATTTTGAATAGTTGATGGTTTTTGGAAGGCCTCTAGCCGCGCGCGTTGGTAGTCCTCTAAGAAATCGAATTTATCGATATGGTTATATCCTTGACGGGCAAGATCGCTCACAAAGCGACCGTATGCCCTTTTGACCACTGCAAAACAGCCAACATCTAATGGCTGTAATAGATGCGACGCATGCGCAGGCATACAAAGAGGTATAATGTCGTTTTCTGCGCAGATTCGGTCGAATTGAGGTGTAAGATGGCTACTATGACCATCAAGGATTAATAGCCGAAATCGGCCGCGTACGCGCGAATTTGTTGATGGGATAAAGAGCTTTTGTAGCCAACGTAGGCCAATCTCATCGCTAGTCCAGCCATTCGTAGAGACCTCGATTCGCCAATCTTTTGGTAGGTTATTAAACCAACCAGCGATAGCAACCTTAGCTTTAAAAATCACGCATGGCGGGAGCGAATAGCCATCAGCGCTAATTGCCTCGATCGCAGTAACCCATTCGCGATTTCCTGGTTGAAGAAGGCGACGGCCGTTGCCATACATTTCTGCCCGCGTAACAACCTTCTGTGTAGATATAAGGCCCATTGCAAATCCTGTCTCATCAAAGTTGTAGATATCCTCCGGTTGTATACCGTTCTCATCGATAACGCGTTGAACGGTAAGAAACCACTCTCGCAGAAGCTTTGGGTCTTCGTTTAGGGCGCGTTGGTAGTCATATCGTATTGATGCGCGCATACGAAGGTTAGGGCGACGGCTAATAAGATTATCTGGCCATTTCACGCCAACGGTAGGCGAAGGGTGGCTACCGCGCGCAGCTAGTAGGATATTGGCCATCTCGCGTATAGTAGCCTTCCTAGGCGCTGCTCCACGTTTATCCATAGAGAATATCCATTCAACAAGCGAATCCTCTTCTAATTGAGTAAGCTTCCGCCCATTTGGTGGTTTATCAACGCGTGATAGCCGGCCATCAGCGCGGTCCTGCAGAGTAGAGCGAGGTATATCGTATAGCTTAGCTGCCGCGCGAATAGATTGGATACGGCCTTCCTGTAAATCAGATAGGGCTAATAGGATCTTGCCCTCTTGATTGGCTAATTTCTGCCGAGATTCAGAGCGAACTGGTGGCATAGTTATTGGTTGAAGTTAGTGGGTTGGTGGGAAGACGCGATTTTGGGTTGGGGTGGCCGGCTCGGTCGGGTGGCCGGCTCGCTTATCCAATACGTTAACCATCAGATTCGTATTATATAAGCCACGATCTATAGCTAACCTCAATCCTTACTAGCGCTTCTTAGGATAGGGTTAAGAGAATTATTTTCTGAGGGGAATTTGATTTCGAACACGGCAGTGCCATATTCGAAATCAGATTCCCCATTGTCCACTTAGATAATAGTTGTCCGGGCCTATTTCAAGAAGCGCTAGTGAATATTTAGATTAGCTATAGATCGTGGCTTGTAAATAATATAGTTACCGTTCGTAATTGTTTAGAGCTTAATATATACCCCGCCTATCTTTATACCCGTGGATAGAAGTACCGTGTTCTAAACACTATTGAACGGTGACTATATTGTGGATAAGCCACGATCAAAAGCTAACCCGAATATAGACTAGCGCCTTTTAGGATTGGGTTAGAGAATTATTTTCTGAGTAAACAAAGGGGAATCTAATTTCGAATATAGTAGTACTATAACCTTCGGATTAGTATACTATATATCTAAAAGGTATCAGGACCTAGCTAGTACCGATCTAATACGAGAACAAGACTCTATTTATGAAACTTAAACCCTAAAGATATCTATCTAGATAGTGGCCGGCTTGTTCTTCTTAAGAAGCCGCTCGATACTATATAGTAACATCCCGATCGGCTAGTGCGACTCCACTAGTACTATTATTATCCCCTTAAATTCTTGTGTAGTATAGATTAGCTATTTTAGAAAAATGCCTAAAGCCTATCTCCACTATATAACGTCCCTTATAGAGCTAAATCTATTCTATTCCTTCTACGTAGGCACAAACACGTTTATTAACTAGAAGATCTTTCTAACTACTAAGCTATAAAATAAATAACCGCTATAGATCCGTAGATAACTAGGCCAATACCTCTAAAGTAAATTATGCTATAGTATAAAAAGCGGGTCGTTTAATTATCGAGCCCTATAAATAAGGTCGGATATCCATAAATATTACTCGCGATATAACTCGCTATAAAAAGGATTGCTAGGCTTTCGATAAACTAAATATAGTAAAGGGAATACCGGGTACCACTACTCTATCTTAAGAACTGTAGGTAGGCGACGAGAACAAGCCTAAAAAGAGATAACAAAGCCGAGGGGAGAGCAAGAATCAATATACTTTTAAGGACCTTAGTTATTAAATTTTCGAACACAAAAGATAGTATAGAGCGATTAGGTACGTTACGGCCTAATCTAACGTAATCTCGTATAATAACCGTAAATTATACGATCGTCGAGCTAAAGGTAGTTAAAGATAGTATCGTAAGGGCGATAAAGAGAATTAAAAGGTGTATACGAATCATATATCTAGTCGCGCTACGAGATATAATATAGTTAAGGATACTTTTCGTCTTATTTAAGGAACTTAAGGCCTAGTACCTCGTTCACCCCGAAAATGCTTAAATTATATAAAGAATAACAAACGAAATACCCCCCGGGATATATTTATATAAAATATAAACTACACTCCTATATAAGATCTAGCGACGGACTTAGGATACTATGCCGTCTACTTTCTAGGAAATAGCTTATACTACTACTATACGGCTTTATAAAAAGTCAGTTCCTCGGAGTGTTTCGGCTAATATAGCTATATAGTGGACCTCCTAGGATATCTTTAGCTCCTAGAGCCACCTAAGACATTATCGGGTCTAGTGAATAAGAGGTAAATATATCATCCTTAGGCTGAAAGCGGGGAAATTATTATTAGAGGGGTTTCACGCTCTAGATAGAGCGATATAAGTTAATATAGACCTTATAAAGTAGTAGCAAATAGTTAACTGTTTTATAGTATAAGCTCTTAGGTACTAAGACTGATTCCTAGACGCTCATAAGTAAGCTATTAGCTATATCACATAAAGTAATTCGTGATTCGCTTAAGGAGTATATATCGTTTTCGTAACTATAAAACTGATATTTAACTTTTAAATAGCTCTAATTAGATAATTATCTTTAGCGCTCGTTAGATAACCGTAATATAGTATCTACTAAGCTTATATAATAAGAAATCTAGGAAAGAGTAGAGACACGAGGTGTATAGACGTCTAAATGATTAATCGTGAAAGAAGGGCGTATAAGATAGATAGCTCACGGCGGGACGAAGGTGAATTTATAACAATTTTGGGTATCTATACGTTTATGAAATATTCAATTTGCCTTTTAGTAGGCGAAATACGACGTTTCTAACTTTACGTTAATATAGGTTATTTATTGCAGAAACCGGTAAACATACTTAAGAGGTGTCTTCAAAAAAAAAATACCCCGTACTTAGTCTTTATACGGTGCCCGTAAGTTATGAATTTCGAATATGTTATATTCCCTTTATAAAATCACTAAGATTCTTCCTAAAAAATAGAACTATAGACGTAATTAGGCTAACGTTTCTAGGAACTAGCTATAGGATAGATCTAGGCCTACGCCTATAATAGGACACCCTACCGATATACTAGGATAGTAACGCTTATCTCTAGGATAATGTTTTTAAGATCGGCCTAAGTAGCCGACGATTAGTTTGTTCCTAGGAAACAAGAAAAGTATATTTAAGTTCCTAGGAGCTTTTATTCGCGTAATTAGAATTCGGGAGTAGGGTATATATCTCTATCTTACACTCTATCCGTAATATACTTAGATGCCGTAAGGTAGTATTATTAGGGATTTTGCACTTAAGTATATTTAACTTACCTCGCTTAGAGTAATACTAACGATTTTATTCTTACTCTTATATCTTCTCCACTATATATTTCTCCGCCCTACTATTCGCTCGGCTAATCTCGTTCCGAGAATTAAACCTCTCACTTTCTATATCGGTGCTATATACCTACTACTATATTCGATATTAGATTCCCCTTCGTCTACTTAGAAAATATTCCTAGCCCTAAAGTAGAACGTACTAGTCTATACTTAGATTCCCTATAGATCGTGGCTTATAAGTAGTATAATTACTATTTAGTAGTATTTAAAACATCGTGCTTTAGTCCATAGGTATATAAATAGATAAGGTAGGTAAAGATTACGAACGGTAGCTATACGATTTACGAATACGAATATACGCACGGGTTCCTAGGAGCTAAAGGAGTAGATAAATATATAGAGAGGGCTTAAAATAGTAGCTTTTAGGTTTAGAAGTTAGCTTTTAATAGTTAGGGTGAAAGTCTGTGGCTTTCTAAACTTCTTAGCTAAGTACTATACTACATTAATTTTTGAAATAGGACGTTTTTAGCCTACTAGCGGACGGTGCTCTACCACTTCTCGAGATATTTAAATAGCCTATATAATTCTCTCGTAGGCTAATAACTTCTTAAACTTACCCTATAAGCTAAGCTCCTCTACCTAAATATCACTTTCGCCGTTAGCGTAAAATTTGAATGGTATAAACCCGCTAATAAGCTCGTCTAAGGACGTAGCTTAATAATAAAAAGACTAATAGCAACGCTCGAGTATAGAAATCTCGCCGACCTTAAATACGTAAAAACCTTAGTAGACCTCTAAAAAAAAGTGAGCTAACTTCTAAAGTCCTTACTCTTTTAGATAGAGATGCGCCCGAAGAGGACTTTAGAGTTACCCTCACCGGAGGCGAAGTTAAGTTAGATTTTATTCCGCCTCTTATATTTAATAACTTATACACTAAAGATACCTTCTATTATACGGTTCAGAAGTAAAGGCTAGATGTTTTACTATTGATGCTTAGAAGGTAAGAGTTCGAAGAGTAGAACATTCTTTATTTGGCTATGGTGTATGATAGCTTAGAGGTAGTCAAAAAACTAGGGAAGGAGATCCCTAAGCTTAGTTGTATTGTTAATCAAAAGGGAAGAACTCCCCTCTATCTAGTATTCACTAAATATAACGCTCTGGTTGCTTAGTTTCTGCTGGAAAACGACTGCTGGAGGAAATATAATAGGGCCGATCGAGAATGCCTCGGTCATCTAGCCGTAGAAGCAATTGCTTTCGATTGTAGAAAGTTAGGAATGTGCGAATAGGCTCGGTTGGTTGGTTGGCTTTACGATCAGGGGGGAATGGTAATTGATACCCAAGATTCGAATGGCGAAACCGCCATTGACCTCGCTCGAAAATGGAACATTTTTGATGTTAGAGTGAAATACCCTTTGATGGGTTGGAAATGACTCACTATCTACCTCTTTGCTTCCCGCAATCTTGGTATTGACATACATTATGTAGCTGAGGTTATAGCATACTGCCGTGTTGAAATCAGATTCCTCAGTGTCCACTCAGGGAAAAAAGCCAACCCTGCCCTTGATACGCTGCTCTATACTCATGTTAGCTTGCGATTGTGGCCATATGTAGCCAGTCTCTGCTTCAAAAAGTCTTACGACCCAAAAAAAAAAAAAAAAAAAAAAAATTATCGAGGACCCAGACACAGTCTTTGAGTACGTCGTCGAGTACTTACTATTCAATATCTCCTCACTGGCCGTTCGTGAGACCACGACCCCAGCCCCTGCTTGAGCAAAAAAGGATCTCCTCAAGATTGAGTAGATTACTCCGCTGATCATTATTACTCGCTACGATACCCTTAACCCCCTTGTAATGTACCCTCTTTGACATATTTGAGGACCCAAATCCACCTTGCCTGGAATTTTGGTGGAAAGAGCTTGCTGGAAGAAGTTCCTATGACTGTGAAGGTTGAAGCGGAGCGGCTAGGCTTGATAGTTAATGCTATGAGGCAAATTTTCTTGAAACAAGGATCCCAATAAGCACATATCTTCTGATCTACTCTTCTAACGTCTCAGTCTCTTCATTGGGGATTTCAAAGTTTGTGAGTGATCATTACAAGTATTCTTGGGGATATTACCATTCATCACATGGACAGCACTAGTATCCTCCGGCTATGTTCCACTATCCTAACCCTACTACCGTTCAATCCATCACATCCTACTCCTAAAACAATGCCACTTTGTAAAATCCCTTGGTTTCTTTTAATTAAGAACCCTTATTGACTCGGTAAATTACTAGAACCTCCTGAAATACCAACTTGAGATCTTTCAAGATACAACAAAGTTTTCGAATCTCACAGTACCCGCGACCTGCCGGGGGGGGGCCGCCGTAACGGCGAAAATTCCAAGAAGAGTCCCAGTGAAATCACATGCCGTCATGTCCAGTGCGTCGATTGACCCAAGCAACACCCATTCCTCGGAAGTTTCAGCCCTGGTGAAGAATTCGTAGGACTCTGCAGATGAAGATATTTTCATTTGGACTATCTGGGCCGCAACTGCAACTTCTGCGACCACCTTGGGTTCGCCCTTCAATTTAAGGCAAGCCTCGAGTGTTATCTTGTGTGTAGTTGTGTCATAGCAAATGTCAACATGCCGAAAATTCTCCTTGAAGAGGGAGAGTCCGGTCTTCACATGCGGTTCGGTGGGAACGCAGAGAGTTGTGGTAGCAATGGAGTTGGAAAATCTTTGCCTTTTGCCGATGAATGTTGTAGTACCGTGAGTTGCCGATAGTCCTCTCGCACTTGGTGTAATCTTGATGGACTTCTCTTGGTCGGAAAATTCATAATCATCTAAATTGGCGTCGCGAAGATAGACATCATCCACCCGCTTTGTGGACAACAACAGTTCCTTCTTGCCAGGTTGAGAAGACACAGCGGCTCTTTCAAATTGCAATTTTGCGCGACCAAATACAGGCCATTCTCCAACAGGCCATTCCACGGGGATCAAAAACGTTTCTCGTCCAATCGGTGATCTACCGCCAGTCTCATTTCTCACTCCTAGAGCAACAGCCCACCATGCTCCAGCTCCATCTTGGAACAGATCAGCGTGTCCAACGTTCTGGACATACTCATTTGTTCCAGCAGCGGTAAGCACAGGATTGTTCTTGTAGACTTCAAACGGACCCCAGATGTCCCTAGACCGTGCGATCACAGATTTGTGGGTTTCAAATGTACCACCATCTGCAGCTAGCAGATAGTAATACCCATCCTTTTTGTAGAGATGGGGACCTTCAATATCGCCGATACCTTCAGCTGTGGCAGCCAGCTCATATCCCCACAGGGGTCTAGTCTCAGAGAGCTTTTTTCCTGAAGTGATATCGATCTCAAATTGTCGGATTGAACACTTTTGAGCACCTATATCCCCATCTCTGTATGATCCCTGAACGTACACCTTGCCAGTAACATCATCAAAGAACAAACTTGGGTCAATTCCATCGAGTACGAACCATATAGGATCACTCCATTCATTGGCCCAGATGTCTCTTGTTGAGATAATGAAGTTATCGGTGCGAAATTCCCCGCCCTCTGGGCGAACCGCATTTGTACAGATAATGTAAAATACTCCATTGTGCCACCGAATCGTCGGCGCAAATAGGCCTAACGCAGCGACAAGATTCTTATTCGGACCGATGGGAAAAGAGTCGGTGGTCGCGTTGGAGAGGTCTATCTGACTCTTTCTGTTGAAAGCGTTTCCTTCTCGACGTTAGGTACCAAATCCTCATCAGATAGCATATAGAAACACTACTCACCAATTTGCGTCCATGCCTGAAGATCCTTTGAAGCATAGATAGGAAGCCCGGGGAATACATGGAAAGAGGAGTTGACAAGGAAGAAGGTATTGTCGACGAAGACCACCGATGGGTCAGGAGCGAAACCAGGAATTATGGGGTTGGTGTAGATCGTCGACATTTCCGTATGCACAAGAAAAATAACTGTGGATTGATTTTTCAGTGGGATTTTCTACAGGCCTGACAATCCCTTTTTAAATCAACTCAAGACGATCGGCGGGTAACACTTCCGGATATCCCGGGCGGCCTCAGTTGAAAATGGGGAACGCAGAAGAGAATAAGAAAGTAAAGATGCCGGGGATTGTATCAGGCTAAAGGTACCTTTCGGATAATTTCATCTATTGAAGTAGGACGATAAACCATATGGTACAGTTCCAACGTACTAACGACCAGGTGATAGCTTTGTTGCCACCCGTGTGAGGCAAATTGTCGGATATTCCGACTTGAGTAGACTTTCTCGGCAAAAGTACATGTTTTTGGGGCCAAATTTGTGAGAGAGATAGATGGCTAATATGTGGGTAAATCGGATATTGCCTAAATGTTTTATGATTTTTCATTGAGCTGTAATCTTTGGAAATTCGTTACTATCTGTACCAAGGAGATAGAGAAATGGAATTTCGCGCTTACTCGGGGTAGGCAGATAGTTAAGCAGCTTCAAAGGGGATATCTCAAGTTAACTAACCTAATTCCCGGCCGATCGAGTCACGCGGTCGAGCGGGCCACCCCAACCAACACACCATACTAAATGCGATTTTTAAACTTCATATTTAAAGATTTAAGGCTAGTCATACGGTTTCAAGGGATCTTAGCATAAATTATATCGTACTATGTAGATTTATTAGCTCGATAAATATTTTGAGATGTGATAACATAGAGGTGTAGATTTACAATGCTCAATCAGAGCATATCTTTGCTAACGCATTTCCTGAACATACTAGCTATAGTAGAGTATTTCGTATATAAATAGATCATAGGATTATAAAATTTAAGTGATAATGTCTTCTCGTTGTCGATATAGTATTACCTGAAAAGTCGCTTTTAGTATAGTGATTTGGGGTGACCGTGGCGGGCGAGATTTACGTTATTTAACCAGGATTTCTAAAAACCTGAGTTAGGCTGCGGCAGCATCCGCGAAAATCCAAATCCGCTCTACATCCGCTCCGCAGATTGCGGATATGGATGCGATTCTGATATCCAACTATCCGCGCGGATTGGATGCGGATTTTAACTTCAAAAAGTTGGATATCCGCGGATATCCAGTGGATTTGAAAACAGTATAAATATGCTAAGCCTCGTGATCACATTCAGTATGCATAACTTATGCAAATTTCGAGGTAATGTTTTGTAATGAGTCTCTTAATAACTGTTAAATAAATTACTCCACTATGATATAGAAGTTTATGCTAATAATATATCAAATGAATTTAATATTCTTTAATATATAGTACTATAGCTTACTAATCTTAAATCTATCTGGAAGCCGCGGTTTCTTCCGAATCCTCCCACTGCTAGTCCGTGCCTATATACTATCGAATGCTGTTTCTCCTTATAGGACACCATTATCTAGATCTGAAATATCTATAGGCCGCTTTAAGGAGTAAGAGATAACTAACTTATCTCTATTATTATCCGATTCCTCCTCTTATAACTCTTCCTAGTATCCTTCGATTCCTTCCTCCTTATCGTCACTAATCGGCTCTAGGAATTTAAGCGATAGCGTAGATTAACGGCTCTAATTAAGTATAGTAGCTTCACTAGATAAGAGATACTCCTTTATTATCTTAATCTCTATTTACTTTAGCTTAAATTTAGATAAGAAATAATAAAGTATTAGACCCCTAATTATATCTAGCTTTAGCTGCCTACGGCGATAATAATAGATATCGCGAGTATAATTAAATAAGCGCTTAACTCCTACTCCACTAGCAGGAATCGATAGAATATCTCGTGCTATTTTGGTAAGTACTAGAAACTCCTATTTATATTCCTTCTAGTAAACACGTGGATTTCCCTTACTTAACCCTTTATTTTTATTAGTTATACTAGACTATTAGATTAAGTAAACCAGAGACTTACCCGTTAAGAGATATTATGTAACTTTATCTTATTAGCTATTAAACGTAATAGTAGGGAGTTTGGTTTATTACGAATCGTAAAGTAATATAAGCTCTTTATCCTCTATATTATTAATAGTCTCTAAGGCGTTAGGTTACTAAGCTTCGATCTAAGCCTATTTCTAATATATTGTAAACTTATTTCGAAATACTTCTTAATATTACTTTATAAAATTAATATCCCTACCCCTCTAATCTTTATTATTAAAGTACCGTAGTTTCTTTAATAGGTAAAGGATTATTATAAGCGTATAGGTTATACTATATAGGCTATTGTCGGTTACACTATAATACTTAGAGAGCTTTTTCTGTGCTAGCTAAAGTGCTTAAAGTATACTTTTCTTCTAACGTATACGCTTATATCTTAGCTTCTTCTTAGCCTCTTTAAGGTAGGTAAAGAGTCTATTATAGATACTAAAGATATAGTGTCAGCCTATGTGGGTGTGTGGGGGTATATGCTTATGTGTGTGTGCTTATGTGTTGCCTGAGGGCCCGGCAGCCTGCCGGGCCGGACCATTGTTTTTCCCCTGCAGAAAGCCCCTCTATATGCATCTCTTCAACAGAGATATCGACCATGGCCTAATTGGCTATTTGACTAAGGATCCCGACGTCCTTTCTACACATTTCTATCCTGCATTAAGATCTATCAGATTATTAGATCTCTGCCCTATTTCCTTGCTGCCTAAACCACTGCAAATCGTGTATTTAAACGCTCGTTTACACCACTGTTTAGCCAGCAGTTCAANAGGCTAGTTGTATATCTACATTAAAGTGATGTGATCACTAGGCTTTCAACCTTAACAGTATTTCCGGTCTCAGTGACAACTTCCCAAAATGTTCTTTCACAAGTTGATGAGCGAGTTCCTTGGATAAATCTTTCTTAGAACAGATTTATTCTATAGAACTCCACATTCTGCACAATCCCATCGTGAGCTTCTAGGAACCGGACTAACTTTTAGCCTAGGAGCCAACAGTCTGTGATTTCGAATCTCTGTAGGCACGGCAAAGTCACAGCAGACATCATGTCCAATAAGCCCGGGCTGTTCACTAACTTTAAGTTTCTTACGAGAGCCAGTCCTTTTTCCGCAATCTCCAGAATACTTTAAGATTCATTGGCTTACCTTAAAGGCATCCCATGTATCTCCAAAGACTGAATAGTCAGCCCATTCCACTTCGCTTATATCATACCTCTCAGAACTGCTTCAAAATGGATAGCAAACGAGTTCCAGCTGTCAATAAATAGTCGATTTGAAAACCACAGCAGCTGATTTTCGTGCTCCCCAGTAACTTACAACTTTATTCACTTTAGTTCTATGAGGCTTGGAAGGCTTTCCGTAAATTCATTGATATCTTTTCTTTCCTCCATGATAGCTTTCTTGTCGATAATTAGGTGTTTGAAATAGGTATAAATTGCTTTATAAGCGAAGCTGTTTCCCCTGAGATTCCAACAAAAGTCTTTATATTCTTTTGCATACTCCTGTGGAGTATATACGCAAGAGGTAAAATAATCCCAATCCTGGATTTCTGTGTATGTAAGCATACAGTAATATACAGTCTACATTTCGAGCATGTGTGACATACCGGGATCAAATAGCTCCGAGGCATCATAATGGAGGATCTTTACATATGCTGCCAGAGGTGATTTTGATAATTCCTCTAGCATATTGAAGTCAAACTCCGAGTATGTAATCTTGATTGTTCTTAACATATCGGGTTTGCTCACTGCTCTGCATTTTCTGCTTACCAGCGAGAATGATTTGATTGTTTTTTCGCTCAAATTAGATGCAATGAGTTCTAAGATTTCAAATGGGAGGTCTGTTAGGGTCGTCATTTGATTTGATGGTTTTCCGGATTAACTTTGCTTTTCAAATGTTTTGAAGTCAGATACTGAACTCTTGAATATTATATATCATCTCCAGTTGTATTCTGGGTGTTTGTAATAGCTAGCGTATAACAAAGTCGAAATGATCGCGCCCCACCTGTGCGACTATGTCTCAGAATCCTAGCGCAAGCTAGTCCCTATTGAGACCTGGTTGCTATGTATATATTTAGGCCTTTATTAATGTACTTTAACACTATACTTCTATCTCACTCTTGCTACGTCCAAAACACCTTACAGTCCATCTCAATCAACACTGTGAAGGTGAGTTGCAAAACGATGTGGAGATTGTTAATGGATATCTAATAAGACTTAGAATGAAGGGGAGGGTATTTTGGTCATGTGCCTCATGCACAGTCTCTGGGAACCAGAAGTTTAACATCAAATTTGTCCCCTATGATCCGGGATCTTCTTTCACAATCATGTGGTCTCACATTCTTCCTGCTAAGCGACATATCAACATATACACCCTCTGTCAGTCTTGTTTGGCAATCATGGGATGCACCTCGTTCGAAGAGGAGATGAGTCTGGTTCTCCAAGTCAAGGATCTGCAGGTTTTTTTTGATAGGAAGACCTCCTGGACTAAGAAGGAATGGAACTTCTGGGTCCACAACCGCGAGTTCCAGAAAATCCATAAAGCCGTGAGCGATACCCAAGATATATATCTCCATCTTGCTGGCAGTGCCGCATTACCACTTGCAAATTACTGAGGAAATAGGAGGTCAGGGACAAGGACGGGATTGTAGGTTAGCCGTACGAGAGATAATTGGTTGATTGATCAATGAGCCCCCTATTTAGTCACATACAAATACTTACGTCGTTTTCGTTGGATTAGGAGTATTTGCAGTAGAGGAATGAGCACGGCCGTACGGTAAACAATGACTTGTAAATTCTGTGGAGCAGAGGAAGAGAAAAGTTATATTTTCGAAATCAATTGATGGCTATATGCATTATAAGATCATAGAAACGACACCTCGGAAGTTAGATTTTCAACTTGGTCCGGGGTGTCGCCGCGATCTAAGGTGGCTGCATATGATGAAACGGGATAATTTCTCAATCCAGAAAAGCGAGCAATAGTATATAACCCATAGAAAACAACACCATCGAAGCTAAAATACGATATAATACCCAAGAGAAGACATTTATAGAGGGTCCCATATTTTCGGCAGTTGGCTCCTATACGGCGGTTAGATAGGAGACTAATGACATATCTATGGTTATTCTGCTTGCTATCCCAGTTGGTAAAGATGAAGGAGTAAATATAGCCTCCTTAGTCGTTAAGATGACCGGTATTTCCATCCAATTCAGGTCTTTTAGTGCTAACGTAGCCTATACAGAGATTGTTTGCCGTGCATGACAGGATGCGTAGGTTGTTCCAGCAATGTCGCAGGATAAAGATGCGGTGCTATACAGCAGTCACATGAATTAGAAAGTGCCTACGGATTGGTGAAGATTATCTCACTTGTTGACGTTATTTGAATTCCTCAACTCTGCGAATGTCGGCGCAGCGATGACAGTCATGCCATCCCCGGGTATCCCACACTCCGATGCTTTAATAGACTTGGGGCAGACCACGATATAAGTTGTAATATTTAGATTCTTTATAAAATTAGTGTGTTCTCACAATATTTAATCAATAAGAGCTTTCTGTATATTGTACGTACCATCTCTTTGATACTAGCTTCAAGTGAACGCCCTTGAAAACCTGGCAATAATAAATTCGCCATCTGCGATGCGCCGATACTCGCCAACAAAAACCAGGTAGTGAGAAACATTGTGATCTAGAATGTTCAGCTAACTTTCGTAGCAATATCAGAGAAACAAAGGCCTATCTCAACTTTGTACAGTATGAGTCTGAAGCAGAGAGGTACAGTACTGTACAGCTGAATAAAGAGCCGAATGTGGTAGTCCCGCGGATAACTCATCCACGTAGACTCTCTCTGATATCAGAGACACTCTCTCACCCAAAAAATACCTTTACCATTTCAAGTGCGACACTGTTTGGGTGCTGCGACACTGTCTTGGTGCTGCGACACTGTCTTGGTGCTGCGACACTGTCTTGGTGCTGCGACACCGTTTTGGTGCTACGACACCGTTTTGGTGCTGCGACACTGTTTTGGTGCTGCGACACTGTTTTGGTGCTGCGACACTNGCGCCTACCAATTCATCTCGTAAGCGCCAGGTTTCTAAGAACTGGTCAAATCTTCGCACACAGCCGCCGCCAAAGACTAATTACGATGCATAGGTTCAGAAGTGGCTGATTTGCTACACTGAAGCTAGAGAGATTGGCCTATCTGAATTCGAGGATACTGAGCGAATCATCTACGAGTTCCTTGAGGCAATTGCCCCACTGTCACCTAGTTTTGTTACTGTTTGGATGAATCGCATCCACGAGCAAAGCGGCGTCTATTCGTTCGGCGTTTTACCAGAGTTTCCCGCCCTCATCAATCTCTATGCAGAGTCTATCCGCCTAGCTCCGCCAATTCACCAGGCTAAATTTGCTCATGGGACGACCTTCCAAGGCAGAAATCCAGATGGGACAGAAGCTATTACCAGCGCCAGCGGCGTTAACAGCGGCGCTAGCAGCGGCAATCCTACCAATAACAGCAGTGGCAATCAGACCAATTTCGATAGCCACAGCCGACCTACTTGCCCCTTTCATAGCCAGCCAAACGATGGCAACCACCGATTCAACGATTGCCCATACGTCAACCCACAGGCTAGGCCACCTAACTGGCAATCTGATAAAGCAGCAGAAGACCGTTTCAAAGAGGCCTGCAGGAATTGGAAGTTCAGAACTGCCTATAAGCGCGCGATTTCTAAGCACCAACCAACGACCAATTCGACTAATTCGACCAATCCAACGGCTAAGTCAGAGGAAGATGAGACTACCAGGGCAGCGTTTGGCACGTACGTCCCTAAGCAGAAGGTCTCATCTCTTCTTCAGGCTAACCGCGCATTCAATTCGTTTCACACTAACCAACCGGCTAATAATGTATGGTGTTTTGACACTGGGTTAACCCTACACATTTGCAATAACCTCGACCTATTGACCGACTATCAGCCATCTCCCTCCTCTGTGAGAGTAGGTAATACAGAGACTGCCATCTTAGGGTTTGGAAGGATAAGCTTCCGACCTACCGATAGCCTAGATGGGACCAAGATCAATCTCAAGGATGTTGCCTACGCGCCTGGTTTCCATGTGAATCTACTCTCTGCTGAGAAAGCTGCTAGTGCAGGCCTATACCTACGAGGGAGAGATTGCATACTAGAGGAATCGAACGGTAAACCTGTTTGCCGATTGAATAAGAAATCTAGTCTATACCTCATCAAATGGGACCAATCAACAGTTGATGGCATGGCTCCCGAATCTCCTATCAACACAGCCAATCAGGTCTCTAGGATTCCTACCCTACCTAATCCTATCGAATTAGACCTCATTGAGGACCCTAGCAAATTAGCCTTCACATCTTCCTACGCACCTCGCCACGCGATAGCCTCGCTAGACCTTTGGCACCAGCGGCTAGGTCATGTGAATCACGAGGTCCTATCCCATCTAGTTGACCACTCATCTAATGTCTCGATCGATTTGACCACCCTACCTAGCCATGTGTGTGAAACCTACAAAGTTTCTAAGGCTAAACAGCAAATCTCTCGACGACCAATCGAGTACACTAGGCCTTTCGAATCTATCCATTAGGATCTCATCCACCAACCGCCATCTCTAGCTAGGACTAAATACCTGTCCCACTATGTTAATCCTGTCACGAAGTATCAGATTGGCGAGGATCTTACCGATAAGACCCTTTCGACCACTTCCCTTTTTGGCCAAATCTAATTCCTTAAGACCCAATTCGACCTAAAGATTCTTACTGTNTTTGGTGCTGCGACACTGTTTTGGTGCTGCGACACTGTTTTGGTGCTGCGACACTATCTTAGTGCTGCGACACTGTTTTGGTGCCTCGGCCCAATTAAAGATGAACATACACACGGACGCTTCCAGGTATTAACTTCCTAAGGGGGGTTGCGCACTGTGTCTTTGAGGATTTTAACGGCGGTTCCGGCATTACTGCTCGATATCTGTAATGTAGTATTATCGGAGCAAGCTGAGACAGTAATGACTAGTAGCATAGATACGAAATTACTATACGAAACATAAAGGAAAGTGCGTCACTAGATATAACCCCTGTCTAGGTGGTAAGTTACCCCACCATATCTCGACAACTATTCATTACAGGTATGCCCTTCGAACTTCGGGTTGTTTCCGAGGCTTTTCCCTGTATTAAAATCCTTGAATACTATACCTTGACATAATGTTCCCTCAAAAATAGAACACTGGAATTCGGACAAAACTGTGTTTTGCACCAAAAATTTCCAGTTAAGCATGACCCCGAAATATCACGTTCTGGACTAGAGAGTGATCCTACGGGGCCAATGTCGGCTGGGTATTAGGCGCTGTTGGTGATGGAGCATCTTAGAATTTCAGCAAGCTAAGTGATTGGAGGTAGCAGACCTAAGTTTTCGGGACGGGCCAGCAATAGTTCCTTCGAGAACTCTAATACGCTCGGAGTTATTTTCATTTTATCAGGCAGATTAGAAAACAACGCCGTGTGGCGATTGTAAACCTCGGGGAATTTTCGGGGAATATGGAACGTGGGGCTTAGACATGACGCGCATACGTACTGTAGTAAGAACCTAAAGGCATACGTAGTAAGAACCTAAAGGATAACCAAGCTGTTACGCGTAGCCGACTGGTCACTGTGAGTAAGTGCAGAAAGGGCAATAGTTACCTAAGTCGTCGTTGTAACCGGGTATAATAACGATATGTGCTGTCACGGCTGATTCCGGCCCTCTCGGCACAACTTCGAATTCCAAGAGTATCTCTCAATCGTACCGTTGCCTCGCAAGGCCTTACTGCGGGATAGATCCTATTGAGTATCTTGCAGAACGTGCCAGAAGTGCGCGCTAAGTAAGTCAATCACTAAGTATTGCTACTAAGTGAATCCCCTACTTATAGGTTGGGTTGTCTTAAAGGTGAACTATGAAGTGCAAAGTACTAAAGGTAGTAACTAAGTAATAATATGCAATTGATCGCGAAGAACTAAATATATGATGCTAAATAAGTGTCCTTATATATCTAGTTCTTCCTATCACTGATGAGTCGGGACTTATCACTGATACGATAGGACTTATCGCTGATGAGTCCATCCTATCGCTAATAGGATGTAGTTACGTGGTTTACCGTGTTCTTGTATTTAGGGTGTAATCTGGGTGCGGGTGAGAAAGTGGCCGTTTCCTGCTTCGCGCTAACCGTCCTATGGAGTAAGTGGGTATTGATTATGACGGTTAGCCGTAGGCCGATTCTGGCTCCTGCCCTAAACCCTTCTACTTAGTGCCCCCCGGGGCCTACCTAAGTATACCGGAACGCACGTGACGACGCTAATCCTTAGCGTCCGTGGGATAATTAGCTTACGGTTACTACTTAAATAGCTACGGCCCCCGCGCCTCTTTGAGGTCCGTAATATTATCCCCTCCTTCCCTATCCTTTGTCCTTAAAGGATTTAAACGTTAGTGCCCCCCTTAGGTATATATACTGTTTTTCCGTTTTTCAATATTTTCCTTCCCCCTATGGCCTAACTCGCTGACTATGTCTTCTAAAGCGTCTGTCCGTAAAAACGCTTTAACCCGTCGAATCGAGGACGAAGGTTTTTAATCCGTTATCCCCTACGAACGCTATATTCGCCTTAAAAGAGTGTGTATTCGTACCGACTATTCTAACCGCTATAGTGATTACGTCCGCGCTAGTGGTGGTGTGAAGTGTGCGATACCGTCCCCGTTATTCACTAATACGGAGTGGCGTCGTTTAGTTAAGTCTCAAAATTAAATTAAAGAGGAGGAGGAGGCTATTCTTGCTAAACTCCTTCGTCTTCGAAAATAAAAACGTTTGTTATAGAAATGTATAGGTGATTTCATTGCTCGGGATTTTAAGGAAGTTACCGAGTTAGAAGAGTTAGAGCGTCGCGAGGTTAAAGAGCGCGAGCGTCTTAAAAAAGAGCGTATTGCTTCTAAGCAAAAAGATCGTGAGGTAGAGAGTACTCGTGCCGCGGGCGAGGTGCCTCGATCTACTATTACGGTTAACAACCGTATCCTTACGGCGACGTTAGAGGATCCTACTCTAACTTAGTTATTAAATAATCTATCGTTCTCCTAGGCCGACCTAGACGCTTCCTAGCTTATCGAGGCCCCCGGGTCTCCTTCTCCTACCGGTAGAACTATCGAACCAGCTAGTGGTAGCCTATTAGGTTCTCGATAGGTTCCTATATATTTTCCGAGGTATCGTATCCCTTCTATTTTACTAAGTAGTGAGGCCTTCCGCTGATTTTGTTAGTATCTAGGATTTCCTCGACCTTATATTCGTTTTCTGATACTTCTTTAACTTTAATATTAGTAGCGATTTCGGCGTTCTTAGGTACTTTCTCTAATAATAAGATATGAAATATTATATAGATACGTCGTATACTATTAGGTAGCTTAAGTCGATAATTAAGTGGTCCTATCTTTTCTTTAATTTCGAATAGTCCTAATTTAAGGTGGTCGAGTTTCGCGCTAGGTCGTCTAGTGCGAATATTACGTCGTAAAAGGTAAACTTTCTCCCCCCTTTAAAAGTCCGGCGCCTCCTAGCGTGATTAATTATAGTAGAACTTTATGCGTATATTAAGAAACTCGATATCCCTTAAAAGTTAGAGATA